TTTAAATGCAGCCTAATGTATCTTGTAGCTTCTTTTGTACGATTGATAAAAATAGCCACTACGTTAGACATCCATGTGAGGTTATCAACTTAGCCATTAAAATAGAATAAAAAATATCCATTTAAAAGATCAGAGAAAAAAAGCGATTAACATTATATTTTCCTGGAGTACACATATCAACACATAATATATAATTATATAAAAAGATTAACACAAGGAAACGTCTAACGTACAGACTAGCTCTACCATGGTATGTTTAATAAATTTATTTATAACTGCAGAGTTAAAATCGTAGATCTACTAATGATTGTGTATGGAACTAACTCTTTCTCTTTGTCGACTCAAGTATGCTACGTCTGCCTTCTGGTTTCCCCATACGTGATCGCGCATGTTAGGTTGTGATCCAGTCTTACTAATCCAATAAGTGGAAGAAACAGTAACGGGAGCCAAGTATGTTCTTTCAGAATTTCACAACATTTATTGCCTAGTTTCAGTTCCAGTCTTAGCAATCCAGTCAGAGGAAGAAACAGTAACGGGAGCCAAGTATGGTCTTTCAGAACTTCACAACATTTATTGCCTCATTAAATTCGCCATATATCAATTAGACTATGTGAACCGATTCCTAGTAAACCTGTCAAACAAGCGACGACATGCTCCTTGCTACGGACGGAATAGAGTGTGGGAATATAACTACGTTTTATGACCCTCGAGATTATATCGAAGTCACCTCCTAGGCTTTTAACGCATATCGGCCTTTTTCCGCGGTGCTGCTTGTCATTTCGACGGACACGAACTTGTTCTCTTGCTGTTGAATGGTCGAAGCTTCCCGCATGTATGGTCGGTCGACGCCGCCTCTTCGACGCCCCAGGGGCCATCGTACGCACGCGGGAGGGCATTTATATTGTCCACCTGCATTCTAAACTTGGCTCAATTCTTTGCAGTCAATCCTTGGTAGTGTTAGAAACATACCAAAGAAATAGAATTTTAACTCCGCTTTGCAAAGCATTTAAACCCCTTCCGACCCCCCTGACCCCCCTTCATTTTAAACGTGAAAATTGTGTTAGGCAAGGGAGGAGCAGTTGTAAAGGTCACTTGTAAGTTCTTTCAACCAAGCGGATTTTTATCCATTGGTGAGTACGTCAGCACATATATCAAGAACAACTGAGTCATTCTTCCATGAATATCTGTGTGAGACCCAAGAAGAGAGTCAGTTGTTTCACAGGTGTCCAAATGTCAAACACGGGAACAAAATAGCCTTAGTCGGCCCTTTAGCTCTTCAGTAATAATCATTGTGGTCTTTGTAACTTAATTATGACCTTTCGACTGCCTGCCTAGCTCGTCAAGGCATCATAATACCCCTTGACGCTGAAGTCAAACGTGGAGGACAGGAAGCCATAAAGTCATTAACTACTGACCGTTTCACGCCTATCCTAGAATTCCTATAGAATATTTATATACCTAGTGAAGTCCAGTGTGTTCTAGTTGCCATGAGATGTGAAATTTTGGCCTAATTATTATAGTGTATATTACGAGTTGGAAATCATGTATATATATATATTTACAATATATTACTTGTTACTCAGTTATACTGGTTTCGGAAATTTCCATCCGAAATCGACTGACTGATTGGGTTCCATATTCATGTTTATTATTTTATATAGTTTAAAAAATAAAATATTAGCATCATTCTATATGTTTAATACTATATAAACATGTTTATTATTTTAAATAGTTTAAAAAATAAAATATTAGCATCATTCTATATGTTTAATACTATATAAACATGTTTATTATTTTAAATAGTTTAAAAAATAAAATATTAGCATCATTCTATATATTTAATACTATATAAACATGTTTATTATTTTAAATAGTTTAAAAACTAAAATAGTAGCATCATTCTATATATTTAGTACTATATAAACATGTTTATTATTTTATATTGTTTAAAAAGTAAAATAGCAGCATCATTCTATATATTTAGTACTATATAGACATGCTTATTATTTCTGTAGCAGGTTGTGTAGATCTGCAAAGCATAGGTAAAGGAGCATATAAGGTAATATAAAAGATAATTCATGTTTATGAACCGTCTTTCTGTTGTTTCTTATCATTAAATCAAAATGGATGAAACTGTAACTGTAATTGGAAAAAGATAATGAACATTTTAAGCAACTTTCATGACAACTCGTATGGGTATAGATAATTTGATATTAAACCTTCGGACTCTGGGTAACACACTTTTTATAACTTCTGTGTGAATTACCTGCATGAACCCCTTCTCCTCCTATCCCTTGTCAGCACCTCTTCCCCCTTCAACAACTCCACTGAGATAACCCGTGGGCCATTACTACCCAGTACTCTTCAACATCCTCCTCAGATAGCCCGTGGGCCATTGCTACCCAGTACTCTTCAACCCCCCCCCCCCCAAATAACTCAACAATAACAAACACTTCTTCACTTTTACAAAGTGGATATATAGAAATGACAATGTAATTCGTGACCTTCTTATGTATACTAACAACATTGGTTGTCAAAGAAAGCAAGGGTTTGAGGACCTATTAACTTGACGATTGTGTGGCTACCGTGTATATTCTGTGTATATTAATGACATTGTAGTATTTTTTATGAGTTGAACGTAGACTGAGTACACTCAACTTCATTCAGAGTTTTACGAATCACGTTATAGTATTATTTATGAGTTCAACGTAGACTGAGTAGACTCAACCATTCAGAGTTTTATTGAAGATTGTTTGACGAACAATAAAGTTTCTTATTGTGGACAAACAGACAGATAGATACGTGTTCATTAACTACACGAGAGCTCTGGCCAGTTTTTCTCTTCATTTACATAAAGAGGCGATATCTGACCTTATCTGAAATGTCCCAAACTTATGTGGTTGGCTTGGTTCCTCCATAAGTATAAATAGAAAAAAAATAAAGTTAGGATTCAATATTTTGAACATTATTATCATTACTATTGCATAACATGCGACGAAGTTTCCACAAGTCGTTTTTCATAGGGTCATTCAACCTGGGTATGGGTATGGTCCATACTTAGAATATCCAGACTGTGAATCCGAAAAAAATTGCTCTATATTTTTGGCTGTGGGTGAACTATAAGACTGACAGTCATATCCCAGAATTCGGCCAGAGAACAGCAGCCCAAGAGTCGACGGTGAGTGCTGTTGAAAAGCTACCTTCCCTCCAAGCTATAACTTCAAAATTACTTTTTTGTGAGTGTAAAACACTTAAATACACCAGCTCGA